CCCCCCCCCCCCCCCCCCCCCCCCAATAAACACTTTTAAATACCTAAAAACTGTTTGAAAGCCTTTCGGAGATGGAGCATTAAGGTATGTGTGCTGCTGCAGTGACCCATTCATTCAGCAGATACTCCCTGGGCCCAGGCCCGCGTGAGGTGCTGTGTATACCTCCTGAATGTTCCTGCCTTCATCTACCTGACAATATAGTACACAATGATAAACAAGTAAATAAATAGAAATTATTGTAAATGGGGTACAAGAAAGAAGAATGGAGTATGGATCCAGACATCTACTTTGGAGAGAGGAGGGATTTCAGAGGAGGCAACAGTTAGACTGAGACAGGACGAGAAGAAACCAGCCTTGTGAAGAGGGGCAGGTACCCCACACAGCGGCAGGCACAGAAGGTGGTCCCAAGGTGGGAGAGGCCTGGGCAGAGCTGCAGCAACTCCAAGAAGACCACCAGGGTGAGGGGAGAAACGGGCAGGGCCCGGGGCATGCCAGAGCCCTTGCCCAGGGTCAGATGTTGGGATTTCTTCCTAAGGTGAGTTGGGGAGTTTAAGCAAAGGAGAGACATAATCTGATTCATGTTTGCGAAGTGGTTATGCCGTGGAAAGCAGAGAGATGGCTTAGGAGGCAGATGCCTAGCGGTGGTAATGGGAGCTTTCACCACCGTGGTGGCAATTGAGAGACGTGAGGTGGAAAGATTGGAGACGTGGTTGAAGGGCAGAATGACAGGGCACAGGAAAAGGAGAACCAGGACGAACACAGAGGCTTGGTTCTGATCTGAACTGCTGGGTGGAAGGTGGTGCCGTTTTTCTAAGAATGGGAAAAGCTAAAAGGAAAACCAGGTAGGGAGGGGAATCAAGAGTTTGATCTCAAACATGATGAATTTGGGATTCCAGTAAGTTATCCAAATGAAGATATCAAGAGACAGTTCAAAAATGTAGTTTGGGCTAGAAATTAAAATTGGGAGAGTTAGCATGTCAGCATTTAAAGCCATTAGAATGGATGTGATTACCTAGCAAGTAACAGCCCACAGCCTTGTAGTATAGTTTGAAATTTGGTAGTGTGGTACCTCCAGCTTTGTTCTGTTTGCTCATGATTACCTTGGCTATTTGGGGGGGGGGGGGGTT